ATAATTTTGATTTTAAATCATGAAATCTATTTTTATTGCAAATATCATGTTAGTGCTATGCAAAGAATAATATTTAGCTGTTTTTATTAATTTGCTTATTGCTGTTGTGTTTAACTTAAAATTTGACTATAAATATCTTTCCCCTTTACTTTGATTTGTTACCTACTTGAGAGATGTTATGATTTATATACTTTTTGCTGTAATTGTTTAAAAATAACAATTCATCATTTTTTTAAAAATTGGATTTTGAAAGCTCTAAACATCCTCTTTGCTATATTCTATGAATTCAAGCTTTGTTATGTGTGCTTTGGGCGCAGTAAAAAATCTGATGCACAATTCATAAAAAACACCAAGGTCTATTGAAACTTTTGTTTTTAAATTATTGATTAATTGAAATAAAATGATATAACTGAAATGTGTGTATGCCTTGGACATAATGTTCTGACTGGGCCCGGAATCAATGGGAACAGCAGTGATGTACAATACAAGTATTTTTACTTTTAAGCTGATTTGGGTTCAAAATTCTTGAATCTATAGTCAGAAATTTACAATGTTTCACTTGTACAGAAAGAGTAATGGAATCGTACAATCATTCATTCCTATGTGATTTAATATGCGGGTTTTTAATGTTCAATCTGATAATATTAATTCTAACAGACAATAACAAAATATAAACTAGGGCAGCACTTTTCTAATGACTTATACAAATGTGAAAAATTTATTAAAAGCTGCAATAAACATTTCTAGAAAACTTAACATTTAGTAACCAAAGTTTTCACAATAAATAATTAACATATTTAGTGCTTAGTTGGAAATTTACTTTAATTATCTGACTCTAAGTTTGGGGATAGGAAACAGAAGTGAAACTTTACTCAATTAAATGTACTACCTTTTAAATATGCAATTGAAAGAAAAATATGAAAACTTTTCTTATGAGGAAAAGAGATTAAATAAAATAAAAAGGCACCAATAAAATCACTTTGAAAAAGTGTTAATGAAAAAAGCCCATTTCCCCCTTTAAAAATTCACATGTAATTAAAATATAATTAAGAAATTCATGTGCTTTTACATTCTTGCAATAAATTCTTATGGTTATATGGTCTATAAGTGAAAAACATTATTATATGATCCCTCCTAAATACAAATTACATAATTATAAAAACAAAATTTTTCATTTAATGAAACTTCAAGCTGAGATTTCTTTTTCCTTCATTACTTAAAAAATTCCTTGTGTTAACTAATCAGAACTGAATCCTTAATTATATATTGAGTGTATATAAAATTATTGAATCTAAGTTTAGAAAATGTACAACTCTTCAAACTGAATTTTGTATAATGTCTTGATTTCAGTTAGCCTTAAAAAATTGAAAAATAGCTTTGAAAAATCTCTCGAAAAGCCTAAATAATGTGGCCTAAAAATATAAATTCTGTAATTCAAGAAATATTACAAATATATAGAAATAGTAATACTTATAATTTTAGTTTTATTTACTGAGTATTATTATTTTATTTCTTTAAAATCTATTTTTATTTTTGAACTAAAAGGGGGATTTAAGTAACTCCTCTCACAAAATTGTATTTGCTTATTTTTCAGCAAATACANAAGCTGATTTGGGTTCAAAATTCTTGAATCTATAGTCAAAAATTTGCAGTGTTTCACTTGTACAGAAAGAATAATGGAATCATACAATCATTCATTCCTATGTGATTTAATATGCGGGTTTTTAGTGTTCAATCTGATAATATTAATTCTAGCAGACGAAAACAAAAAATAAACTAGGGCAGCACTTTTCTAATGACTTATACAAATGTGAAAAGTTTATTAAAAGCTGCAATAAACATTTCTAGAAAACTTAACATTTAGCAACCAAAGTTTTCACAATAATTAACATATTTAGTGCTTAGTTGGAAATTTACTTTAATTATCTGACTCTAAGTTTGGGAAACAGAAGTGAAACTTTACTCAATGAAATGTAATACCTTTTAAATATGCAATTGAAAGAAAAATATGAAAACTTTTTTATGAGGAAAAGAGATTAAATAAAATAAAAAGGCACCAATCAAAACACTTTGAAAAAGTGTTAATGAAAAAAGCCCATTTTTCCCTTTAAAAATTCACATATCATTAAAATATAATTAAGAAATTCATGTGCTTTTACATTCTTGCAATAAATTCTTATGGTCATATGGTCTATAAGTGAAAAACATTATTATATGATCCCTCCTAAATGCAAATTACATAATTATAAAAACAAAATTTTTCATTTAATGAAGCTTCAAGCCTCAGATTTCTTTTTCCTTCATATTACTTAAAAAATTCCTTGTGTTAACTTATCAGAACTGAATCCTTAGTTATATATTGAGTGTATATAAAATTATTGAATCTAAGTTTAGAAAATGTGCAACTCTTCTAACTGAATTTTGTATAATGTCTTGATTTCAGTTAGCCTTAAAAAATTGAAAAATAGCTTTGAAAAGTCTCTTGAAAAGCCTATATAATGTGGCCTAAAAATATAAATTCTGTAATTCAAGAAATATTACAAATATATAGAAATAGTAATACTTATAATTTTAGTTTTATTTACTGAGTATTATTATTTTATTTCTTTAAAATCTATTTTGATTTTTGAACTAAAAGGGGGATTTAAGTAACTCCTCTCACAAAATTGTATTTGCTTATTTTTCAGCAAATACAGGAAGTAAAATTATGTCATTATATCTAAGTTTTAATTTAAATAAAATATTGTGTGAATGAATAACCTCTTTTTTTTAAATTATTTTATTTAAAAAAATATAATATAATTATAATATTAAATTAAATTTCTTAATATTTTATTTTATTAACTGTAAATATGAATTTTATATACCTTTTTTTGCATTATATATTGTATCATATTGCATTCTCTAACTAACAATTACAAATTTGTTACTATTGTATAGCATCATCATTTAATCACAAAGTGATGCAGAACAAAATTGTTGCCATAATATTATGTTAAAAAATTACATTAGCCTTATATCTTCTGACAAACCTTCTTTACTAATTAATGAAACTAAATTATTTTAAAATAACGTAGGTACCTAAAGGTGTAGTTCTGTCAGAAGTATTTGGGATTAATTATTTTTAGAATCATTTAAATATCTATTAAATGTTAGTTAAGAAACAATTAGATATTTTTATTTTGAAATCAACTCTATCAAGGGTTTTATAATGTTAAGATAAATACAGTTTCTTAAATATCCAAGTTCTTTTCCCCTATGTTTTTGTCAGACATAGTTTCTTGAACTGTTTAACTTTGTTATTTAATGTATGCAATAATGTAAGATTTTAACTTGAGTTTGATGCTCAATCAATAGCAATAATTAGATGCTGAATCAATTCAAAAACTGCATTCTGCCTTTGTGTGAATTACACCTCCAAATCGTATGACTTTTAAAGTTTAAAAAGTGAGACCTTTAAACTTTATTTTTATTTAAATATTTCATTAAAAAAACTTATTTTACGGCAGCAAATAAGTTTAATTGAATTTTAGTCAAGTTATTTGAGTTTATAGTACATATCCTTATTTTACTAGAAAATTATGTCTATGAATTATTTTCATTTCATGGATGTTCCCCCATGTAAATAATCTTACACCCTAGTTATAAGTTCATTTATTTCAACCCACTGTTTTATATAATTGAATTTTTTTTTTCATATGGCCTTAAGCTTTCAAAATATTCAAGTATTGCCATTTTTTTGATCATTCAAAATTGTTATTATTGTTATTGAATTAAAGAGCTAATTTCAAACCAATCAAATTTATAATCAAAATTTAAGTTGATTTCTATACTGTGACCTATCACTATACTGTCTCAAAACCTGGTGAGCATTTTCGGTTTATGATGCGAATTTCATTTGTAAACTGATTGTTACAACTGCATTTTGCCTCTCAAATCCTTTCCCATTTTTATTTTTACTCAGGTATCACAACACTAGAATACTGCATTGATCTCTCCTTCTTTTTCCTGTTATTTATTTATTTATTAATTATTCTTTTTTGTGGCAGACATTATTTATAGCTTTGTGATTTTTTTACTATTTTCAGTATGTAATAGTTAAATTTGACTCAGTATGGCCAATTCAGATTATTATGCATTAAATTTCATCACAAACCAAGTGTCAAGTGGTTTTGGGGACTATCTTGTTTAATACAGCAGAGTTTACCTGTTTTTAATTCTCCTTTGTCATCATTTCTGTGATCAATATTACAGTTTTAAAAAGTTAGCATGTAAAATAACTATAAATTTTATCTAATCTTTCACAGAATATTTTTACAATTTGTACAAATGCATTATGATAACATTTTTGACAAAAAATGAATAATTTTTTTAAGCTTCATGATAAAATCCATCTATAAATGTCTTAATTTATATTATCTGAAATTTACAACAATGGCTCAGTGGTCAAACGAATTAAGCTATAATTATGAAGAACTGGGTTTGGAACTTGGTGAATACTTGAGGCCCACACACAGCTCCTGATCGACGGTTCGAAGATTGTGTGGGATTGTAATGCAAAATTGTGTGTCATGCTTACACCACATTATGCTTTTGGTCATAAAATTAAACTCCACCACCCATTGACCCATAATAGGTTGTTGCAGAAATTCTTTAATTTAACAATAAAGTGTAGGGCATCTATTGTAGAATTTTTATTTATTACTTTGATTTTTGATTTCGTCATTAATTTGACATATATGTGTTTCTTAATTTCAATTATTGATTTTTCAAATGAAAAAAAAAACTGTTTGTTATTGCTCAAAAATATTTTAATGCTCATATAATTATTTTTTTTTCATTTTCAGTTCTGTTATGAAGGTTCATTGAAATGGAGCTGTAAAGAATCTGTTACATAAAATTTAAAAAATGTCATAAGGAATACTGAAATCTGAGTTTCCAAAGAACAGTTTTTAAAATAAAGTATGATATACTTTTCATATGTTTGCATTTTGAATGAACTGTAATATAATGCAATAAAAATAAACTAGGAAATTAATTACTCTTCAAGTTTATTTTTTTACAATGTTTGAAAACATATAAAAAAAAAACCATTTTTTTACCCTTTGCATATGGATATTTAATATGGCATTCTATATTTATAATACTTTATTATTCTGTACCATAATGTTAACCTTTGTCTATTCAGATAAACTCAATGTTAAATTATAATTTATAAGATATACATGTTCATGTCTGGAATTGAGTGTGTATGCGATTTATAAACAAAAAATGTTCCTGAAAACTTTTTACAGAGCCTGGAAATTTTTTACAGAGCTAATATATACCTAATGTTTTTTCCTTTTATTTGTTTTTCTTTCCTTTTAAGAATTAATTTTATAATATTTTCGTTTTCAATGCATGCTTTTATCAATGTTTGAAATATGTCATCGATTTTATTATATATAAATATAATAATCATTAATTTTATGTGTTGCATGTGATTTTTGCATCAGGCTGAAGATGAGAAAGTTACAAGTTTCCAGCTAATTAGCTTAAATTGTTTTTAAATTTTACGTGGATTATAAATAAAGTAAAAACTTTTCCTCTTATTATACCAAAAAAAAAAAATATATATATATATCTTCCAAATCTGCAAGATTTTTCTGGTAGTTTTAACTAAATTTATACCTATTTGTTTTTGCTAATAAAAATTTGTGTTAAAATGTAAGAAAAAATGCATTAAAATTTATATTGAAAACATTTATATAGATTACATATCATAATTTTTTCTTTTTATTTATTTATTTTGTTAAATTTATTGCATACTGTATTTTAAAAATGTTGTACATAGAATATTGCTTGATTGNATTCACTCTAGTTGGAGAAATGTGGAAGGGGAACGTGCTTCTGTGCTAAAGCATCAGGCAAAGAGAAAATAGAATCTCCCTTTTTTTAAAAAAAAAAAAAAAAAGAAGAAGAAAAAGAAAAATACCTTTTGGTGCATTTTTTTTCTATCCGTATCTGTTATTATTTGTATATGATTCTAAGCAAAAAATATTAAATATAGGTTTAGAAAATTTACCATTAAATTTTAATATGTATATGATATAATTATTGGTAATTCTGATATTGTCTAATTTGTATGACCTTGAAAAATTTTCCTGTAAATTCTTAAAAAGGGCTTAAATGTAAAAAGTGACTAAGAGTGGAAAAAATTTATATTATATAAAAATATTTTTTTGATGTGAGGAAAAATATTATCCTTCCTGAGAATGAGTCATGATATGTATACATTATTATTATTTATAGTATGCGTAGAGTTTGAAATTGTGTTAGTTGCATTAATACTTTATGGCAATGTTTTTTTTTATTGTAAGCTATGATACATTGTGAGAAATGATTTATAACAACTTATTAAATTAACTTTATTATGATTGATAATAATTAAGCATTAATTTATTTTTCTCGATATTAAGTCGAAATAAAGTTTTCTCTTTAATTTTTGAAACAAAAAAGCTTAAATATACTTTAATTTCAATAAAAATACATCAAAAGTACATTGTTAGAGTAAAGGAATTAACAATTTAATAAACGTACCTTTAAAACTGAAATAATAAAGCAATCCAAACTTATATGATAAAGCAATTCCAAATATGCCAATTGTGTAAATTTCTTGCAAGAAAACTTCTTATAAGCCTTTAATTTCTTTTAAATAAAATCAAAAGGTATAATTACAAAAATGCCAGCTCTAAAGAAATTTTTTTAAAACTATTATAGACATATTTATTTTTATGTTTCATTTTAGATTTCATATAGATGATGGTTTAATTTAAAAACTTTTTATGTATTCCTTAATTTACAAATTAACTGATTTGCCTTGACTTAAATATGACTTTTTTTTTATTTTTGAATGAAAAGAATCGCAATTTTTTTTTTTTTTTTGAAATCTACAAATAATATATTTTTTTATTTTACAAAAAATACTTTATGATATTTGGTATTTTTATTTGGAAGTAACTGTGGAATATATAAAAATACGAAATATTTAATAAAATAATATTAATTCGCACCGTCGTTCCTTATAAATAAATATCTTTTTGAGCAATTATATAATTGAAGATTCCATTTTTATAAATTATTTGCATTATATTGTTATGTTCAAAATCAAGTTTTTTGATAAGTCTATTTGAGAACAAAATGTTATATAAATGGTTAATAGATAGCGCAAATGTATAGTAAGGACTGCATTGTTCAAGTTCACCCTGACGCCCTTTGGGTGAAGTAATTCATCTTCCCAGTCTAAATCTATGGGTTAAATATTAGGAAACAAGTAATTACTAGCTCTGAGGATTCTCGAGCCTCAGTCATGTTCAATATTTAAAAATTATATTTAATAAAAATAAATGTGCTTTTTTATTTATTTTCAAATATTGTAACTTAAATAAAACATTCTTTTTCTTAAAACTACAGTCAAACGATGAAGTGAACCTTCAAGGGACCGACATTTTGGTTCACTATAACCGGGAGTTCACTATATCCGTTACGCAGGCAATTTCACTAATGGTTCCCAAACTCCTCCCTGTTATTACGCATTATTCAAATAAATGACTGAAAAATATTATGTCGTAGCAAAAAATGTGTTCTTNAAAAAAAAAATTAGTAATCTTTAGCTGATGAACAATCCTCAACATCAGATATGGAAACATTTCCCGACTCTCAGATAATTTTTCCTGAATTTCTGTTAGTCCACTTTTTAAACTTGCCTAACCTGCCATTCTAGCACATAAAAGTAGTTTCTATAGATGGTTTTAAAAATCGACATATGTATTTATTTTGAAGTAGAAATTTCAAAATTATTTGCAAAGAAAATGGAGGGGGGGGGGGGAAATAAGTCGAAAACAGAAAAAAGTTCATTATATCCAACTTCCTCACTTTTTGGTTCACTATATGCACTAAAAATAACATTATACGTATATAGCAAGGCACGGGGCCGAGCATTTCGTTCACTATAGCGGGGTTTGACTGTTTAATATTTTTCTTTTTAAGCACGTACAATAGCAGTAAAATGGAGAAATTCTTGCCCATATACTGTACATATAAATGGACCCCTATCTCCCTTAAATATTAAACTATAATTTCCAAACTCGACCTGATATTATATTGTAAGGTACTATACAGAAGACAAGGAAACTCTTGAATCAGTACCAACATAGGTATAATTTGTTTTGAGAACATGGAGGACTTTGTGACTTGACAGATTTAACGTGCATCAGTCACCATTTATTACACGGAGAGTCTTCGACCGGCGGGGATCGAATCTACGACCTCTTGGACATGGGCCCAGTGCCCTACCAGCCAGGCTATCCCGGCCTCTATATTAAACTATAATATTCAAATCTCTTCTTCCAAGCTATCTCTCCTAATCTTTTCCTATGTACTTTTTTTTCATTCATTTGGTCGTTAATCTAACTGGGGCACCTGAAGGTATGTAATATTTAACTTAAGCGCAATAAAAATTAGGGTCAAAAAATATATGAAGTATATTATTTTGATTGAATATTTGTCCACTGTAGAGCATTTTTAACCGAAAGTTTGGTGATTCGAGCCCACCACGAGTCGCCATTATTTAAGAGCCGTGGTGGCTCAAGGAATAGAGCATCAAAATGAGGTGAACTGATTTCGAATTCTAGCGATGGCTAACAGATACAGCACCCGGCTCGCATGGACCACAGTGCTGACGTAAGATATCCCCATGGTAGACGGATCACGGGTCCCCTTGCCGTCATGCTAGCCGTATGAGGTTTTCGTGGTTTTCTCCTCCATGGAAAGTAAATGCGGCTTAGTTTTATCATAAATTCCTCCACGAAGGTAAAATTCTCTTAATTCTGGATACAGGAGTTTCCTACTCTTCTGGATGGGGTTCAAAATTGCAAGACTACGGAGTTGAACATTATTAGTCGTAAACCCAAAAAAACGCAAATAAATTGTTAGGCCGGTTATTAGTGAAGCTGATTTTGAACCGAATGCGTCAAAAAATCATGGAAAATACTTATTGCCGATATATTTGCTTTGAAAAATATTTCATGTAGAGATTATATATGAAGAACTGTCCAAAAAAAAAAAACAGAATACAAAAACAATAGTTCAATTTTGTACATGTACAAATAACGTCAAAATTCAACTAAGTAACCTTCGAGTTAATCGTGTTACTGGTTTAGATGATCTGATTTTTGAAGAAAAGAGAAGGATTTTCATCTAAATTCGAAGTGGATAACCCTTTGCAGCAACACGAGTATCTTGTTCTTTATTTGATAAAGTTTGATTTAATGAACCTGAATATTATTTTACAGAACTATTGAAAAAGAAACATGAATATATTAACTACAAACGGCAAATTTTGCACTGTTATCATTTTTAAATTTATCCAAATGCAGCATAATAACATCGGTTTATGAATAATTTAATATTAAATCCTGAATTTACCTGAAAGTGTTTTTCGCATAAAACGTCTTTTAATTTCCCGGCGTTATAGTTTTTAATAGCAGAGAAAGAAAATATTTTTGGTTTGCGGTATACCGATGTTACCGTGAATAACCGAGACAGCCTGGTTGGCAGGCCACTTGGCCCATGTCCAAGAGATCGTGGGTTCGATCTCCGCCGACCGTAGACTCCCCGTGTGACTGATGCACGTTAAATCTGTCGAATCTCGAAGTCCTCCATGTTCCATTAACAAATCATGCATCTGGGGTTTCTGATCCAGGAGTTTCCTTGTCTTCTTGATTTGGTTCAAAATTTCAAGGCATTAGTCGTCGTAAAATCTAAATTGGATCTTCTGTTCAACGACAGTCATAGAAAATAAAAACAAAATAACCGAAATCAAGAAAATGTCGACTTTCATCGGCGAATGTCAACAATCACATAGGCGCTAGGGTGTAGATTAGGAGATGTTTGGAGCACTGGCATTGAACCTTAAAATAACATCAGTGTAAGGTATATCGGGCAGTGGCTCTTAACTAGACATATTATATATTTCGAACATTTACCAAAGCGACTATGTGATTGTCAACATTCACCGGTGGATGTCAACCACCAGTAATTTCGGTCATTCACGCTTTTCTGGTCAGTGATTTAGGAAATAATCACAATATTTGTGATTTAAGTGATCAATGCTT